GTTTCTCGTACATTGCAAACAAGTGAACCTTTTGCATTAGCTTTTCAGATTGAACAAGTATTCTATATCTCTTCTCATGAAGAAAGATATTGGAAATATGTAATTAAAGTCAAGCCACGTAACTTTTTTTATTTCCCTAATGATGAAGACGCTGAACAAAATGAAGATCTATGGAATATTGTGGAAGAAGGAGCAACTAACCTTGAAGAGTTCACTGCACTTAGTGATGAGGAAATCAACATGGTAAGAGATGATGTTGAACCGGAGTTGGTTGCTGCAGAGGTCATCTTAGAATGTACTAATAACAGTGTTTGACATGGATAATGACGATGAGCAAGAAGAAGAAAGTGAAGAGGATGATGAAGACGATCTTGATACAAGCTCTAGCGTGCATGAGTTAGATGAGGATCTTGAGGATGTAGAATTTGACAGCGATAGTTCTACAGATTCACCTTCTTAGTTTCTGGTAATTGATGTTTTCTAAACTAGAATGAAATAAATGAGTCACTTAAATCATTTTTTCTTTATTAATAAATATATTTTATTATTATCATTGCAGTTACCCAGCACCCGCGGAGAATGTTGCAATTTTAGGCGCTACTACAATCTATAATCAAATCTTTGTTGCTCTTAGTTAGTATTTTGCAAAACTCTTTTTATGCATTAGTGGTTTTCAGCTCATATGCTGACAAATCACTTGACATAAACTAGCTCTAGTTTTTTCTTTTAGTCTGTTCTTTGTGTTAGTTTCTTTGTTTTGTAACAGCTTTCTTTTTTCAATTTTTTTGCTTTTCTTGTTTTGTTTTCTCTTGTTTGGGGTCTTCCCTCCATTGCAATGCAACTACTAATTTGTTGAGTCTTTTTTTATATGTTGCTTTATATAGATTGGATTTGGTGAAGTTTATTTTTTCATAATTTTATGTTGCTTTTATGCTTATTTGAATATCACTAATATCATGCACAAGAAATTATTATAGGAAAATGGCAATTGAGCAAGTGCAGCGGGATGCATCGCAGTTTCGTGAGACAAGGCAAGTGTCAAATATAAGGCAGCATGTGCACAATGTGCAACAACATCGGAATGCAGAGCAGCAACAACAACAACAGAATATAGAGAATCAGCAGCAACAACAGAATGCAGAGCAGCATCAACAACAAAATGCAGAGCAGCATCAACAACAGAATGCAGAGCAGCAACAACAGCAAAATGTGCATCAGCAGCAACAACAGCAGATTGTGGGGCAGCAACAACAACCAAATGAGGAGTAGCACCGTGATGCAGAAGCATCAACTAATGATCAGTCCCACAGAGAAAAGATTGACATATCGGGAGAAACGAAGGCTTGAACAAGCTAAACATCGACTAAAATTTCCTGATCGTAAGAGGCGTGGGCCAACTAGGGGTAAGAAATATGTTACTAAAATGTGGAATCCTAATTATGAAGAAAAGATTAAAATAAATTTCATGGATGAGCTTCGACGCGTGGTTGGTGAAAAGGCGGATGAATTCATATGTGATTGTAGCGATTGGGTGAAAGAATTTTGTCCCCTCAAGTCATTGTATGTGCTTTAACTTATAAGTTTTTTGAATATATGCTGCTAAAGTTATGTTTCATGACTTTGAATTTACTTCATTCATGACAGGAATTGGGCTAAGATGGATTCGGGTGCAAAACAAAGGTTGTATAAAAAGATTCGGGTTAGTTTTAAGTATTTGAGACCATTAAAAATGTATGAATGTGTTTAGCATGGATGGATATTTATTATGATTTACGTTGGCAGAGTAAATATGATTTACCTGACAAAGTTGCTGGTGTTGATGTTACTGATGCGTTGAGCTTTCAGTGCTCCATGTTGTATAAACATTGGAGATTCGGGCTTAAAGAGAAATACTTTAGAAACAAGTCTATTGCAGATGCTATAAACAGCAGATCAGATAATATTGATGATAACCAATGGACATGGCTAGTATGTAAGTATTGGAATGATGAAAAGCAAAAGGTAAAATTCCCTCTGACTCTTTTTTTTTTTTTAACCTGACCATTAGTTGAAGTTATATTATGATAATATGCTAATGCCCTGTTTTTTTATGGCTTGTCCGTATTAGTAAAGTTAACACCGAAAATAAGCTTGGCTTGTAGCGTATTAGTAAAGTTAACACCGAAAATAAGCTTAAGCCAACTGAAACTCCTGTAAATGGTGCAAGGTCTACCGCAAGAATTTTCCATGAATTGGTACGACCTCTATATTTTTGCAATGATTTATATTATAATTTGTTTAAAGTGGTGCATGTCTGCTTTAGGAGAAGCTCTGAAAATGTTTCTAAACTAATTTATGCTTAAAGGCGAATGAATTATTTCATGGTTGATCAGTTCTGCTAGCTTTTGGACTGTTACTATCATTGAATAAATTGTTTGTTTTTTATAATTAGATTAATACTTAAATAACACCCTTATATTTCAATAATCATGTCTTCTTCTTTCTCAATTCTACTGATCTAATGACAAAATACCTGTCATTGCAGCTGAGCCTTCACATATATCTTGCCTTTTAATTAGTACTGTATTTGGTTGCTAGTTTCCATTTTAATCACTCTTTGTTACGGGGAAGTGGATTATTGGATGTGTACAAAATGGGAGCCTGGAATGTCTACACACTGATCTGTTTCTCAGTTTTTCACAGAGAATTAAGAGTGAATGGAATAAGAAAACTAGTTTGACTGGTATATAATCGAGTTGATTATGAGTTATGGCAGGTGATCGAATTTTAAATTTAAGTTTTATGGGCTTGCAAAACTTACTTAAGTTTTACATAGTTTCGACCATTGCATGCTTAGTTATTCTGATAGTCTGAGACAATTGATTGCCATCTTAATCTTCTTGGGGTGTTTGACTGTTTCCCATCTATTTCCAGATGTTACGTAATGTGAAGAAAATCCCTACCTATGAGCTCGTTCTGTTCTGTCTACTGTGAACTTGAGGAGTGTATGTGAAATTGGGAAAATGTGTTTAGTGAAGAAGACCCCACCTTGTGTTTTGGTGGAGGTTCAAGGGTCAGATACTAGTAGAGAGATACGTGACTACTCTTTACATGAGTCATGAGTTTTTTTTTTATTGATGTCCAGGTTAAGGAGAATTTCATAATATTTGTATGTGCTATGTTCCAGAGTATCCAGACAGTGAGTGGGATTGCACAATACCTAATTTTTTTAGTTCCTCTGTTTATGTATCAAATATGAGCATTGTTATTGATAAAGACTAGAGCAATCAGCAATGGATTGGAAAATTCTGTTCCTACCGATAATTGCACAGCATAACATCTTAATTCCTCCAACAGATAGGCTGGGTGGTGTGACTTTTTATTAAATAGGTTGATCACCATGAGCTGGCCATTCTTTAGAAGATGATAGTGGCTTTTTGCAATGATTTATATTATAATTTGTTTAAAGTGGTGCATGTATGCTTTAGGAGAAGCTCTGAAAATGTTTCTAAACTAATTTATGCTTAAAGGCGAATGAATTATTTCATGGTTGATCAGTTCTGCTAGCTTTTGGACTGTTATTATCATTTTATAATTTGGCATTGCTTATCATAAATGCAGATGAATGTGCAACAAACTCAAGGTAGTCAAGAACATGAAGGATCATCAGATAATCCTCTTGAAACTCAACAGGATCCTCTGTACATCACCTTATTTGAAAAAACTAAAAAGTACTCAATGTTCCCTTGGTGGTTTTTTTTAGTATCTTTTTATATAAGTTTTTTTTTAAAAAAAATTTAAATTATTGCATTAAGTTGTTTATTGTTGTGCCTGATTTAATATGCTAGGCATAAAGACAGGGGATTTGAACCTAATGCTGAAAAAGACTATGAAGCGCTTAGAAATCTTCATGAAAAAGAAGTGGAGGAGCATGGTGAAGATACACTAAGTGTCAAAGCAGCATACATGGAGGTTTTCAAACCAAAGTCTGGATATGTCAAGGGACTTGGTCCTGGAGCTCGTCCACCAAAGAAAAGAAGAGATGAAGGAGAAACTAATGAAGTTAGAGTGGAATTATCGGCTGAGATTCAACAATTAAAAGAGGATGCCGCAACACGTGAGGGTGTACTTGTATCTCAAATTGAAACCCTGAAGGAATCTAATGAAGAGCTTAGAACCTCAAACGAAGAGCTTATAGCATCAAATGATGAACTTAAAGCGGCTGTATCTAGAATCAACATAGAAGGTCAAAAACGTGAAAAGAAGCTCAGAGATGATATGATGAAAATGTTTGAACAACTTAGGTATGACACTTTCTCATCTTTTAAATGAGATATATATTTTAGCTATTATCAAAACAATATGTTGCTGCGTGTTATTGCTGCTATGGTTCCTTTTAGTGTCTATTAGCTATTTATTTTCTAGCAGTTCACTAAAGATTAGAATTGACGATGACAAGTCACTATTGAACATCATAACTAAATTAGGACTGAAATTTAGAAATAATTAATGAATATTTGATTAGAAAATCAGAATTATATATGGATGAGGTTAGGTGACCTTAACTATTGAACTTAATAAGCTTAAGCAAACTCCCCACTATGGCTTGTTCGTATTTACCCAGGAAGCTTATAGGATCAGTCCATCAGAGGCAACTACCACCTAACCATTACCACCTGGTGTTAAATTAGGTTAATTAGCCTGCTAAGGCTAGGTTGAGGGAGATTACATAAGCTTAGTAGAGACACTATTGCAATTATTAGGAATTAGCTGTTATTATTGACATTTGTTGATTTGAGGGTATTTCGGTTACTTTTCTGTCTATGAGAATTCATTCAAATAAGATTAAGTGTTTTTTTAGCGGAAATAGATTAGTCGAAACTAAGGACTAGAGAAAGAGATAGCTAATCACTGGTTTATGTTTGATTATACTGATTATAAAACTTCTTGGTGAGTAAACTATAGGAGTCGCTATTGAATAAACAGAAAAGGGATCAACAATGCTTGAAACTGAGGAAGAAGAGAAAACTAGTTACTTGCTTGTTTGTATTTGTTGTCCTGTTAAGTGCTGATTATCAATCTCTAAAAAGTATTTGTAGTTTGGTGGACCACAGGGTATCTTCACGATATAAATTGATGCATGGATTAAAGCTTGCCTTCATAATGCCTTGTGGTTGAAAAGGCAAGGAATTAGGAAAGTTATATTATCATCAGAGATTTGCTTACTTTGCGTAAGGTGGATGGAATTTGATTCCCTCTGTGGTCTTTACAAGAAATTGGAAATTTCCTAGCATTGCAGAAAAGGTGATTTGTTTGGATTTAGACAGCTATTTATTTAGGGCTAGGTGTTGATAGCGTATGGTAAGAGTCAGAGTTCTAGCAAGCAGGAAATATTAAGGTCCTATATAAAATCACTCAGCAGCGTTCTTGATTTAGTGCAATTAGATCTTTGTATTTGAAACCCACCTAAGTCTAGGTTGAACATGAGTATCTTACAGTCCAAGTCCCAAAAGCCAACTCTTGATGAAGTGCAGTTGAGAGAAATATTCAGGAAACACAATATCAATGGTGATGGCCACTTGAATAAGGAATAACTGAAGGAAGCCTTTCGAAGTCTGGGTTCATTTATGCCTTATATATATACTCTTTTCTCTTCTAACACATTTTTTATTTCACTCTATAAATTGTTCATAGTACAGAAATTGAAATGGTTCATAGTATAGAAACTGAAATTGTTTCTGATGGGTTTTTCGTTTTATGAATGTAGTTAGTTGTTTTCAAACACAAATTTATAGTAGTATGAGGGAAAATGAATAGTATATATTTTTTGTTGCAGCAGTTTTAATACTTTTGTGTATAAAGTTTGTATTTGTGAAAATTTAGGATGCTCTCAATAATTATTTTGATATTACTAACTTATGTTTTACTTACATAGGAATAACATGGGCTAGCAATGAAATATGGATGATTGCTACTATTGAAGGTGAAATATATGAGCAGCATTGAGAAGGGGCCGATTGAATTAAGTCTGTAAATAGTGTTATGTTTCTGTTATTTAATGTTCAAAGGAACATGTACCTTGTTGACAAAGTAGGATTATCTTATAATTTGCACATTTCTTAGTATGTTAATATGTTATTTATAAAATAAACTATTTCATGTAGTCATTATTCAATATGTTTGGTATTTGAATTATTCAGATTAATTTGATTTTTAATAGGTTATACCCGTATTAAAAATATATATATATAAAAAACCCCATAAAAAAAGCATTGTATGATGCCGACAAATATGGGCAACGAGTCACTTCGTTGCACAAAGTACTATGAGCAACGAGGTAGCACGTATGGGGCACAATGATGGGCGTCGAATAGGTTCGTTGCCCAAACAATTATGGGCAACGAAAAACACTTTGTCGCCCAAAGAATCAAAGATAGGGCAACGAACAAGTTCGTTGCCCAAAATATTATGGGCGACGAAATAGACAAAACATAGGCAACCAACTAGTTCGTCACAAAAATAACCTTTGCGCAACGAAATACAAATTCGTCGCCATATATGTAATGGGCTTCGACCTTTGGGCGTCGAACCCATGTCTAGGCCCAATTCGTCGCCCAAGACTTTGGGCAACGAAATATTTGTTTTGGGCTTCGAGTTTAGTCGTTGGCCAAAGTCGAATTTCTTGTAGTCTCCATACTAGGATTAGGAAAATCCTAAAGGGGTATGATCTGGGAGTCTGGCAGCTCACCCCAAACTCGTGGGTGAACATTTTAAGGTATATTGCCGCCTGCGAGCTCCAGAACCTAGCTCCCAGTTTCTCTGCCTTTGCTCATATGCACTACTTGAGCAAGGCCGCAGGCGGTCATGGGGAATGGTATACTCTTACCACATTGCCCCAGTATTTGATGACATTGGACAAGGTGTCCAAATGGTCCGGGAGGAAGGATAAATTTTATTTAATCTCCTCACCAACTTTGAGACACAACCGGACACTACGCCAGTATAATTAGGAACAGGTTCTCCTTGGCAGGAAATGCCCTCTCCCGGCGCTCTCTACTAGGGCCCGAGAGCAAATAATGGAGCCGGGTTCCTTCGAGACCACTACTGAGCCCTTGGGAGATGGGACTCATATCATTGTACCAAAGAACTGGATCCCCCACTCGGGATATTTCAAAGATGAATGTTTCCTGTCCGCCTGTGAGTTAAGCCCCATGTTTCCCAAGGGTAGATCCACTTGCATCCGGCTTTTCTGTAGTTTTTATTTTGTACTTCCAACTTTTTATGATTTTCTCTAACTGTTTGTTTTCTCCTTGCAGCCGAGAATGGTTGACCCAGCTAAGACTCCGGCTAAGTCAACAGCGCAGCTTCGCAAGGAAAGTGCGCTCTCTAAGAGAGCAACTGTTGAGGCCAAGGAGGCCAAGAAAGGCGGGGTAAGACCGCCTGACTTTAGTTTTTCTTTAAATTTCTTACAAAGGTTTTTTCCGACTGACAACATTTGGTTCTTGATTTGCTGGATGCCGCTAAACGTGTTCCACGCTCCGTCTCCAAGCTTTTCAAAAGGCAAGGGGAGGAGCTGGACAAAACTCCGGCTGCCAAGGCCGCCAAAAAGAATCCTTCCCAAACAACTCCTGCTGCCAATCCGGATCGTCCTACTACCGGTGACAAGTCCCCTTCTACCATGAAAATTATGAGCGAAAGCTCAGAACGCTCGCAGAAGAAAGCGTTGGATGCCTCTAAGGCATCGAAGGGTAGCCAGTCACCCAAAGTTGCAACCGGTGCTGCAACAACTGGGGAGGAGGATACCTCTAAGCCCCATCCGGAGACCCAAGGTAAAACAAGATTGAAATACCTTGGCCACTTGACTTTATGAGAGTAAAGACTAAGGTTGACCCTTCAGGGGGTTCAGTCAGCAGCCGGCAACGAATGAATGCCAACTACGCTGCATCCCTCTCACCAAGTACTTCTTTTGGTACAGATCTGACATCCGACGAGCCGGATCTTCCTAGGTTTGCCAAGCGGATGGTGAGGACCCTCACCCGGTTTGAGAAGAATTTCATACCTGATCTACAGGTGGTGGACTTTGACCGGCTAATGGGCCAACTGGCTGAGGTAAAAGATTCTCTAACTCAATTCTGATATTTTTTCTTCATTTTTTACCAAGTGTTTCATAATCCGGCTGCCCTTTTCTCAGGTAATGCTGAGGGTGGATGGGCTCCGGGGCCCCTTCAGGCGAAAACAAGAAGAGGTAAATGACACCAAACGGAGGGCCCTTGAAAACCTCAACTCTGCTGAATATGCTAATTATATGTGTGATTTAGAGATTAAAGCAGTAGAGTTGAAACAGGAAGTGCTGATCCGGAGTTTGACGGCTGCTAACGACAAAGCTAACAGCCAGGCTAATGATCTTGATCAGAAACTAAATGATGCTAAAGCCAAGCTCAAGGAATTGGAAGACGCTGACAAGGAGAACACGAAGCTCTGGGAAGACGTCGCCCAACTGGGGGTGGAGATCGTCAACAAGCGAAACCAGCATGCAGATGAAATCGCCAAGGAGCAGACCCGGCTGATGGAGGAAAACGAGCGGGACAATGCAGCCCGCCTGAAGATAACTTGGGGTCTCCTCTATCCAGATATAGACTTTGAAGTTTATAAACTTAGGTATGATTACGCCACAGCGGTGTATGATGCCCAAGTGTTGGGAGAGGCAGCTCCACCTCGCTTCAAGGAATGGGCTGCAGAGCTGGGATATGATGTCTCAGATAATGAGGAGGAGCCGGCAGAGGATAAGCAGAATGAAGGCAGCCAGCTTCAAGCAACTGATAACCAATCAGAGACCCTCTTAACCGGTCAGAACCAGCCGGATCAGCAGCCTCCACCTCAGCCTTAGGCCAGCCTCCCCAAATTTAGCGCAATATGCCAAGTTTCCTTCTTTTCCGGCTTGTAAGCTGAGTATGTTGTATTTTTCCCAACTGTGGAGTTGGGTTAACAATTATTTCTTTGCTTCCTCACCGAATGTGATTCCGTTTAACAATTATTATGGCCTTAGTGCCATTTTTAATAATTATATGAAGTATTTCGACTCAGTCGGTTGTTTATACATGTTTGTGTTTGAATTTTTTGAATTTGAATTTTGTGTATATACTGCAATTCTTTGATATTTTGCCTAACTTAAAAAAGCATGCGGCAATTTTCATTCCGGCTGTTCTTGCCCCTGGACGACCGTGTGGTTAGTTTCAATTTAATATTGATTGATTGGCTTGAAAACACTTGATACTTGGAGAAGTATGAGGTGTTTTAAGGCCAATCAATCACAATGGTGATTGCCCCAAACCAAGTGCACATCCGGCCATTTAGACGGGTGCTTCGAGCCTCTTACCCAGGCAATAATATTTCGTCTGGGATCATTGCATAGCCATTACATAAAACTCTTTTGCCCCAATTGGGAGAGAGTGTGCAATTTTGGAATAAATAATCTAAGTAAGAACTTTAGCCGGTAATCGACTAATGCCTCAGGGCATCCGGTATTCGGAAACTTAATCGTTCTTGTAGACTATTCTGGTCAGGCGGCTATGAGTTGACCAATTCGGTCGTTCAATCTTTGTCGTCTGCATAGGTACGTAGAGCTGACAAAGAGTCTGCTCTCTATGACGATTGCACCCGGAGGGGTGTCGCCGGACGCCATTGTCCATATCATGACAGGCGATTTTGTAAATTAAGAAATCATCCGGCCATTGGCCTCTGGTCTTGTTTAAGACCGGTTGTATAGCTACTAAGCGTTTTTGTGCTTAGTTTTTTCAATCTGGCCATTAGCCGCGTGTTATTTGATCATTAAATTTAACACTAAGTATTGAACTTAGTTGATTAAGCAAATAAGCCATTTGGGTATTAACCAGACGGATAAGTAATTATAAAGATAACAAAACAAATTTGAAAACAAAGCCTGATTTCTCATTAATAGACTCTTTGTTTACAAAAATTTACAATTCTCAAAAGTAGTAATTTTTTAAGTTATCTACATTCCAAGTTCTAGGTAGGCGTCTGCCGTCTGGGGTTTCTAGACGGTAGGTTCCATCCCTGACTTCTTTATAGATCCGGTAGGGACCTTCCCAATTGGGGGTTAGCTTTCCAAGATCATTGGCCCTACCAGTTGCCTCCTTTTTTTATAACACAATGTCGCCAGCTTTGAAAGGGTGCTTGTGTACTTTCTTGTTGTAAGCTCTCGTCATTCTCAGACGATATATCTCATGACGCAGGGTAGCATTGCCCCTGCGTTTCGGGAGGCAGTCCAATGTCAGCCGCATGGCCTCCCAATTTGCCTCTTCATCATAAAGCATGACTCTAAGAGTCAGCTCGTAATGTTCAATGGGAAAGACGGCTTCAGCACCATACACCATGAGAAATGGGGTTTTACCGGTTACCCCTTTGGAAGTTGTCCGAATGGCCCATATGACATGAATCAGCTCTTCCGCCCATAAGCCACCGGCTCTTTCAATTTTCTTTTTAATGCCGTCTGAGATAAGCTTGTTGAAGGCTTCAACTTGGTCGTTTGCTTGGGGTCGGCCGACTGATGCAAAACAATGTGAGATTCCCTGATCTCCCAACCAAGTCTTAAGGTGAGGCGTTTAAAACTGTGAACACCATAGACATAGGTACCCCAAACCGGGTGATGATGTTCTTCCAAATGAAGGAGATGACATCCTTTGTCTTGATGTTTTTGACCAGATCAGCCTCTACCCATTTGGTGAAGTAATCCACAGCCACCAAAATATAACGCTTTCCGCCTGGTGCAGGCGTAAAAGGACCTAAGATATCCATGCCCCACTTAGCAAACGGGTCTTGGCTGTGGATTGTCGTCAGATCAGTAGCCGGACGGTGTATAAGCTTGCCAAACCTCTGGCATTTGTCACACCTCTTCACCAACTCTTTAGCATCTGCTTTAAAAGTAGGCCAAAAATAGTGTCGCATGGCTCTGACAGCTAGGGACCTGCCGCCTATATGAGAGGCGCAGTATCTCGCATGCAATTTTTCGAGAACTTCTTTACCCTTTTCTGGGGTAACACACTTCAATAGAGGTTTAAGGAAACCCGCCTTAAAGAGCTATCCATTTCTCATCTCAAAATTTGCTGCTCGTGTCTTCATAACGGCTACCTCCTGTGGTGAGTC